GAGGGCCTGGAACCAAGCCCATTACTACTGCTGAAGCAATCCTCATTGCAACATCCTGCAGGCGCCGGGACATGCAGGGGACGCGCAGCTGCCCTGTAGTAAACTGCACAGGGAGTCTGAAGCTTAGGTGTCAATGGTGAAGAAAGACAGATGCAGGCAGACGAGGCTCAGAGACAACTTCAAGGAAGGGCAGGCTATTTGAGTGGCTCCTCACAGGGTGGCTGAGGCCATGAACCACACAACAGTCTCAGTATAAACAAGGCAGTGAGAACTCGATTCAGCCCTGTGTCCACCCTATCACCAAGTAAAATTCTGTTGTGTGCCTAGAATATGCAACAGGAACTTACAAAACTTAGCCTCTATCCTGTGAAACTGTGCCAGTTGCTTCATAAATGCCTTCCTTTTAACCTTACAGCCTTCTCGTAAAGGACGTATCACCATTTCCTTTTACTTACGAGGAATGGAAGGTCAGAGAGTGGGAGGTGCAGAGAGGAATTGGAACCCAGTACCCCACCACACTGCTGTCATGATCGGCTAGGAGTAAGAGCGAGGGTTTTCCACATTTTTCTTTTTAAAGACAACCTAGGAAAATATCATTTTAAATCTAGGCATTAAATGAGAAGCTTCACAAAATCTTCCATTGGTCCTGCATCTGTTTTTCTACAGCACCTGCCACCCTCACTCTCCCCTTCCCATCACAAGCACGTTCTTTTTCAAAAGAGTTACCTGAGATTGCTCCCTTACTCCTTACCTTACCAGCATTACTCAGCCTCTGCTCCTGCCCCACCTTCCTCCCCACCACGCCACCACCACAAACACACACAACACAACACAGGCAGTGCTGGCAATAACCTCTCTTTTACTGAATCCCAGCCAATGGCACTTTACTTTTTCCTCTATCACTTGACTGCCCTGCAGGATAAAGTTAGCCACAACTTCTCATTTCTTAAACTTTTTCAGGATGCACCTAACATTACTCTTTTGTGATAATCCTCCTAACACTCTGAGCACTGACCTTCTATCACCAATCTTTTGTTGACCTTGAATTTACATCCCCATACAGGGGCACTTTCCTAGGCTCCAGACCTGTATCTTCAATGGCCTAGTAGACATCTCCACAAAGCATTCTGAAATCAACAATCCTGTTATGTGCTCCTCCTCCCAGGGGCCCTGGCATCAGGGAGAGAAACCAACACCTACTGCCAGACCCCTGGGAGACCACAAACACTCCTCCTCCTTTTGTACCAACCTTAGTCAGCTACTAATTCCTCAACAGCCTCAAATTTGTCACATCTCTCTTCACTCAATGCCATCATCATCTCACTATCAGATTGCTGAGTCTTTTCTTTGGCCACACTCCACATTTTCAAATATGCCTTCCCCACTGGACCTTCAAGAAACTTGCTGCAACTCACGTACCACAGCTGCGACAGAACCGCCGTGACCACTGCTTCCCTCATCATGCGGCATGGCTGTACTGGCTGGTGCCCAAGAATCTCACTCTGTGCGTAGTGATTTGTTGCTTCTGGATCCTCAACTTGACTCTAAACTCCTTCAGGGCAGAAAGGTATCCTGCTGATATTTATAATCCCAATGCCTGGACCATAAGCAGACTCTCAGTAAATTACCTTACAAAAAAGGTCCGATTATGGTTTGGCATGGAAAGCAAGGCAGAGATTTCTAAAATCTCTGGGAGATAGGGGGAGAAATAGGGAGAAAGGGGGAGAAAGGAGGTCATTCAAGAGCAGAAAGGGGTATGAAGAAAAGCAGGGGACTAAATGCAAGGCATTTCCTGAGAGGCAACAACAGTTTGGTATTATAGAGAGTTCCCAATCAGATGAAGATAATCATGAATTTCATTTTGGCAAAGATTAATGAAAACAATGCAAGCAGCAAACACTAACACTTATAAAGCACTTAAATTATAAATGTATATACTCTATTTTAACCTTATAGTGATGCTATAGAGTAGGTATTATTGTTGTCCTCATGATTCAAAAATATTAATTATGGAACAAGCAGATTTCTCCAAAGTTTATTGCTAACTTTTATAATCAGAACCCAATACCTTCTGGCTTCCATACTCCACGATGTTCAACAGTACAAAATTAACTCCTTATATTTGATTAGTAATTGAAACTCAAGAATTTCCCTGCCACATAATAACTCAGGATACAGAGCAAAAGAAAGGCAGGACTACATGGGTTATTTAGAAAGAAGAATCTAGCAGCAAGAAGCAGGAGAGATTTGAAAGGAGTGAAGCAAGAAGCAGAATCTCCAGAGAGGTCAGTACAGTGGCCCACACATGGGGGCGGGGGGCAGCTCTCAATCTGGAAGACGACTGAGGGAGTAGCAAGGCAGGACAGAGCAAAGAAAAGCTATTGTAACAGAAGAAATAGAAAGATTTGGTAAGTGACTGACTAAATGAGGAACAACAAAGAGAAAATTAATCGAGCACATACGGACGTTTTAAACTCTCAACCAAGAGGTGAAGAAAACGCTCATGAACAGGGAGGACAAACGCGGGTTCTGCTGAAGAAAGGGAAAGTGGTTGATGGTTAGGACACTGAGTTTGAGGAACATGGACTTAGAGCACGTGCCAATGCTCACATAGACTGAAGTTTGAGGAAAGAAGAGCAAGATCATGGAAAACAGAGACAGCTGAGCACTCACGTGGATGTGAACACTCTTGAAAAAAGTAGAATGAAAGAATAAGAATCTGTGGACTAAATGTGGGGAAACAGTTCATTTAAAGAAGCCAGTAAAAGAAATGCAGAAGGCAAGAAGAAATTCTCAGAAGCTAGTAGAGGAAAATAAAACAGCTCATTTCCAAAATCTGGCTATCCAATCTGATTCCAAAAAATCCAAATATCATGTCCTAATTGATTAAATCCCAACCTTTCCACATAATTTCAATAACAATAAAGAAAATGGAAACATGGATATCCCAAAAGTACAAATCACCACCCATCACCAGGATCTCTGGATTTTGGACCCAATTCTAAAAGAAAAAGCTCATTAAGTGAGACATGTACATCACTATACTGTACCCTCTCCTACTTCAAAAGGTGGGACTTCTGCCAGATGCCCATGGCATTTCATGCCCTTCAGCAGAGGACAGGCGAGTGTTCTTATGATGTGCTTTCTCCTTAGTCTTGAGAACTCGTCCATTATAACAGGGACTTGCTAGCCTGTTTCTATTCCTTTTCTTTCCTGTGTACCTTTTTTCCTTTTTGACTTTACTGAATTAAAATTTACATACCATAATATTCACTTTATGTATAGTAAATAATGGAATAAGCCAGGTGGTAAAGGACAAATACCATCTGATCTCACCTTTAAGTGGAACCTAAACAACAAAACAAACAAGCAAGCAAAATATAACCGGAGACATTGAAATTAAGAACCAACGGACAGTAACCAGAGGGGAGGGGAGAGAGGATGATGGGGGAGAAGGGTAAAAGGTTTTCAGGAGCTACCATAAAGGACACATGGACAAAACCAGAGGGGGTCAGCGTCAAGGGTGGGAAATGGGGATGGCTGGGGCAGGGGGAAAATGGAGACAACTGTACTTGATCAACAATAAAAAAATGTGAAAATACTCACAAACAGGTATTAAATTAAAAAATAATGAAAACAAAAAGAAAAAGAAAATACAACTTCTTAGAGTTTTCTGCTTGGGTAATTAATCTGAAATAAAATTTCCTACTTTTCAAAAAACAAAACAAAAAGCAAAGTGTTCTTTCCCTGCTGACTCAGCAAATGTAACTGCTTACACCAGCCAGATTGCTTTGTACTTGGAAAGAATGAGGTTACGTGGGGTCCCTTTGTGGTATATGAGCCACATCAGCGGGAGGAGCACGGAAGTCTCACGTGGTTTCATTTCATGAGGAAGTGTGTGACTTCACCCATAGTAAACCCTTACATAAAGACATCTGCCTTTAGTAGTATACTTTCCCAAAACAGTTTCCAGAATTTCTTCTCTCTTGGATAAATATCAGAGGGAACCTAGAAAACAGGGAATAGACATGGTTGCTGAAGGAGATGGGGAAATAACGTTTTACAATATTCAGCATCATATGCACATAAGACCTCAGTTAAGCTTTGTAAAAATGTTGTGAGGAGTTCGAAGCTTGGAAAAGTTAAGATTTTGAGCCAAAATCACGCACCAGTCATTAAAATGCTATTTGCCCAAATTCAAACTTTGAATTTGGATGGAATATAGTTATCACGAAGAAATGCAGGGACTTACAAGACAAACATTCAAGTGATATTAAATTCCTAATGAGAATCTATGTTTGAGGAAAACAGACACTCACATAAATTTGAATGCCAACAGGGATTTTCTAAAGCCTTGCAGACTCCAGGAGTCCAAGTCCAGAAAAGTCAGGTGATTTGGTGGAGGTCACACAGCTGGTTAATGTAAAACCAGAACTAGAACCCCACAGATTAGAAGGCTGATTGCATCTGAGTTTATAAAATACTCTTACATATATTGTATTAGATTTCCAGTATTCTACAATCCACAATAAACCAAGTCCCATCCTATATGCACTTAATTATATGAGCTGAGGTGGGGGGCTGGGGGGCAGGGAGCATGAGGAAGAGCCAGGATGGGAAGACATAAGCTAACAGGACCTGAGTGCATTCTTGGGCCCAGCTTCTGATTACCTCACGTAATCCTTATTACAGTCCTACAGCACGATTATTAACACTATCATTTCAGAGATGAGGACACTGAGTCAGAGACGTTCAGTGACTTTCCCATGGCCACACAGTGGCATTCAGATGGAGCACATACACAGAAATGGTTCATGCTTCATGCCAGCTGAAAGAAGACACAAAATAGACAACTCTTGTGTGGCAAAGGTGTTCATGTCCGAAGAGTACATATTTTTCTGAATTGTAGTGACATGCATGTGTGTATATTTAACTGGGAAGATCAAAATATTGTGGTTTTGGACTCCTTTGCAACTGTTTAATTTTCTTTTTTCCCTCAGAAATTAAACCTGGAATAACCGATGCTGAACCTTTGCCTCAGCTGCCCCCGAATGTTTCCTGACAGGTATTTTTGCTGACAGTCCGTCACTACTGAAGAATGGGGCTCAACCTAACACTTGCAAAGTTACCAGGTAAGCCATAGGGGAAATGCAAAAAACACTGCAATGGATTCCTAACTGTTATTTATACTACGTGGTAGTTTGGGGGTTTTATCGACCCCTGATCCAGTGAACAAAATAAACCAGCATTTAGGCTCACTTTCTTTAAGTATAAAACAGTGAACAGGCAGGATGGCACCACTGATGTCAACTTAACTTGCTATCACTCTGAAGCTTTGTTTCATCTAGAGACCATCTCTAAAAGGACAAGAAAGATTAAATTAGTAACATTTGCAGAAGATTTTTATACCTAAGGTACATAGTACTTTGCAGAGGTAATACGTCTGAACCAAGGTTCACTGAGGGTCCCCAGGAGGCCAAAGGCAACATCTCCCTGCCCTACTGGTAACTTCAGACAGTGACCGTGCAAGGGCGGCTGTGCCATGGCAGTGGCAACCTGTAATTTGCGTGGCTTTAGTATTCCATTCCCACCTGGCAGGTAGAGCAGAGACGTGTTGTTGATACGTTCACATTTCGTGCCAGGAGTGACACACCCCAATGAGCAATAATGTAGCTTCATCAAGAGCAAAAGGACTACGATTCTTCACTACTCTTTCTATCATTCATAATGCCACTGCTACTCATGCGACAAGTTGTAATTAGTGCCTTAAGAGAGTGAACACCTATTAAGTACTAGATACTGTGCACGAAATGTTTGCAGAGCATTTAACTTTCAGAAGGTCCAGCAAGGTAATATACATTCCATTTTACAAAGCCTTGAAGCGACTAAACCAGCACTGTCAAGAAGGACTTTCGGCAATGATGAAAATACCATTCCTCTGCACTGATATGGGAGCCACACACAGTTGACGCTCGCTCCATCTGGCTACACACCCCATGCCTTTCTCTAGCTCACACAGATACACACAGTCCCCCTTACACGCAGCACAGACAGCCACAGCCCACGTGCCAACACACACCACAACACCACTCTCACAGGTGCATTGGCACAAAATCGCAATTTACTATGAAACTAGAGTGCCTATGTCATTGTCTTTGTTGATTTAATTTAAAGGAGTTGTGAAAGGGGGAACAGGGAGAGAATAACAAAGCAGTGTTTACCCTCAATTATCATTCTGTAACAAAGTCTGCACTAATACAGGAAATCACATCCTAATAAACAAGGGGCATGTGAGAAAATAGCCTTTACACTGTAAAAAACAGCTTCTGGTTTTTCTTAACTGAATCACCACACTACCTGGCATTAGAAATGTCCCCTGACCTGGTCATGTTCACTATCGACAGTGAGGAGCAAACGCAACTGAACTGCCTGAGTGAAGAAAGCCACTCACTGTTATTGGTCACTGTTCCCGAGCGGGAACAGCGCAGACAAAGGCCTCTGAGGGTGCCCACCACCTTGGAAAAACCAGGGTGATGATACAGGAGAGAAGAAATGATGGTGGTAAAGCTGCCAGAAAGGAATTAGGTATGACATAGGCTTAGTTCTAAAAAATTAATCAGACAAAACTCTCTACATTAAAGTTTTGAGCTTTCCAGAGCAACCCATATGTGGATCTTCCTGCTGCTTAGGAATCACTTTTTCCCTCTCTACTAGCAAATTATTTCATAAAATGACCCACAACAGACTTTAACTCATAACTTAAGCTGCACTGTAAATGTGGGATTTGTGAATGAAGTAATAACCAAGTCTAGGCCTACCCCAAGGAATTTAGAGGACCTTTATTCCAAAATGTTAATACTACACATAAACTAAGGAAGCAACACCACCAACAAACTGAACACCAGACTCTCTCAAAGCCACAGAACAGTTCAATGCCCACTGTGGAGTGAGTCCACTCATCCTGAACAGTTACTATTTATGGGGCACAGCACACAGAAGGATCATTTTTAACATCCTGATTCAAGACTCTATGTTTAATAACCATAAATGATCAGTAAATTATCCCTTAATAAGAGAGCTTGATTATATACAATTAAAACTTTGAAATGCTATAATGATATAATGAACATGCACACAATCCCTAACCAACCAGTTAAGTGTGGGCCCTTCCATTCCACAGTGGATATGCTGAGTGGGTCCAGTGAGCAAACACTAGGGGCTGATATAGCCTGTGCCTAGTACGCTACATTTAGTACCATCTTATTTGCATTTACAGTGGCTCTAAAACCATTCGTCAATAATCATTTCAAGTGCAAGCATCATTTCTGATGATGTAGCTGCCCCTTTCTACCTGTGTCTCTCAGCTGGACCACTTGTCCTGGTAAAAATTTACTTCTCTCCACCTTCCTTAGGGTTCTATTCTGGGTTCAATGAAAGTGACTGCTAATAGTTAATTGGGGAAATTAATTCAAGCAGATAGGTTATCCCAGGTAAAACTGCACATCTTAAGAAGCTTCTAATGACATGAATGTTGATGTGGATCCTGTGGTGCAGAACCCTTCATTCTGTCAGAACAGGCCTTAAGGACCTGTTCGAGGCAACATTTGAAACTGGCAACAGGAACATAGAGGGCCGCTGAATCAGGCATTTAAACTTGTAAAGCTTACTAATGCTATGGGGATCATCATCACAGGCTAGTCCAGGTATAAATTACAAGCCTGTATAAAGATATTTAAGCCAGGAAAACCAGTTTTTAAAAACACACTTTTAGCAGGGAATAAGAGAGAACAAATTGGAAAGAGGACAAGAATACTCAGGAACAGCCTACACTTAAATTTCAGGCAGCAATTTAAGAACCTGTTTTTGGATTATAATCATCAGGCCTTCCCTGTTTCACTCCTTCAAATAAGGGAAGCAACAACCGACATACTACAGTGCCTGCCATGCAGGGAAATGAGGGCCAAATTCATGCTCTTACCTCCAAAACAAAGTCATTCCAAAATGCGACTGGCAAACATTAATTAGTACCAAGTAAAAACTCAGAAATGGCCTTCCCTGTAACCTTACATCCAAAATGTTCATTTTAAAATTGTGTTAGTTCAGGTTTTCAAAAAGAGCAGATGACACAGTTGCACCAAACAGCCAAGAGATTTCTGGGGGAAATTCCGGCAGGGGTCACAGGCTGCGCCGGTCTGCCCTGGGGTGCAGACAGGGCAGCACAGAGCGGGTGGGGGCGGGAGAAGCAGGGCGATTCAGACCGCAAGTCACTGGAAGGTTTTGACCAGGCTGATGAGGAGTCCTCCAGCCAAAGTCATCCCCCAGAGAAGCCCCTCCTGTCTCAGGAACTGGCTTGTCTTACCATCCTTCCTGTGCACGGTTCCTGGCCCGCAGCAGTGCCTGGGAAGTGTGGATTCATCAAGAGATCCCACAGGCCCCTGTCCACGGTTGTAACCACAGTAAATCTAATGCTTGTAAACCAAGTCAGTGCTTACGTGATGAAGTGGTACAGCATAGGTCTTCAGCAACATGAACAAAACACTGTAAATTACCCTCAAAAGGTAAAAGATTTAAAGATTTCATATTCCAAGTGCGATAGGTAAAATCTAGTAAAATCTTGTAAAAAATAGGTACCACCCTACAACTATTTTAAAAAATTTCTTCAATTATAGTTGACATGCAATATTATTTTAGGCAATTAAACCGTTTCCAGTCCTAAAGACGTTCCCTAAAGCTTAACTATAACTACTATAAGAAAGTCAAGAGCAAAAAAACTCAAAATGACCCACTAATTTGCATTTTTTCCAATTCTTGATGATTAAATAACTTAAAACTGAGAGGAAAAGATATTTCAGGGAGCATGCCAAAGACCACACTAAAAGAATAACCAGGTCCTACCCATTTTATTTTCTTATTTATGAAATTTCAACTTTCTGCCTCCAGATTTTGTTGATTCTATTTGCCATGATATCAAACACTGAATTAAAATTCAAGATGATTTTCATTGAAATATTTATTTTCGTTTTCAAAAGGTTAGCATAGACAACTAGAAATACCACATTTTAGTCAAGGGATTACATGGAGTAGGGGATTGGGGGTCAGATTTAGGGATAAAGCCACCAATTCTTTAGCCACTCAAACAGTAACAATACACTAAACTGTTTACATCATTAAAGATGTTTTGAAAGTCACCCCAAATAGCAGTGGCCCAGCCTGCCAGGGCGCCCAGGAGTCTGTGGGGCGTGCATGCGCAGCTCTGACGTGGCCTGTCCCACCTCTCCCACAGATGATGAGCTGCACGGCCAAGGGAATCCCGCTGCAAGTAACTCCAGCGAAGGACCCGGAAAGAACACCACCGCTAACAATGAGTTTGACACCATCGTCCTGCCTGTGCTCTACCTCATCATATTTGTGGCAAGCATCCTGCTGAATGGTCTCGCAGTGTGGATCTTCTTCCACATTAGGAATAAAACCAGCTTCATATTTTATCTCAAAAACATCGTGGTTGCTGACCTCATAATGACACTGACTTTTCCATTTCGGATAGTCCATGACGCAGGATTTGGACCGTGGTACTTCAAGTTTATCCTCTGCAGATACACTTCCGTTTTATTTTATGGACACATGTACACTTCCATCGTGTTTCTTGGGCTGATAAGCATTGATCGCTATCTGAAGGTGGTGAAGCCATTTGGGGACTCTCGCATGTACAGCATAACCTTCACAAAGGTTTTATCTGTTTGTGTCTGGGTGATCATGGCTGTGTTGTCCTTGCCGAACATCATCCTAACAAACGTACAACCAACTACAGAAAATATTCACGACTGCATGACACTTAAAAGTCCCTTGGGAGTCAAATGGCATAATGCGGTCATTTATGTCAACAGCTGCTTGTTTGTGGCCGTGCTGGGGATCCTGATCGGGTGCTACATAGCCATATCCCGGTACATCCATAAATCCAGCAGGCAGTTCATAAGCCAGTCAAGTCGCAAGCGAAAACACAACCAGAGCATTCGGGTGGTTGTGGCTGTGTTTTTCACCTGCTTTCTACCATATCACTTGTGCAGAATTCCTTTTACTTTTAGTGACTTGGACAGACATTTAGACGAATCTGCACACAAAATCTTGTATTACTGCAAAGAAATGACACTTTTCTTGTCTGCATGCAACGTGTGCCTGGATCCAATAATTTACTTTTTCATGTGTAGGTCATTTTCAAGAAGACTATTCAAGAAATCAAATATTAGAACGAGGAGTGAAAGCATCAGATCACTGCAAAGTGTCAGAAGATCGGAAGTCCGCATATATTACGATTATACTGATGTGTAGGAATTAAAGGCCATGAGGTCCTCTCTCCTTTGTTGAAGTCAATATGTACAAAGTATAAATAAATGTTTCTTTTGATTATCCTCGTTTCAGCCCGTCAAAACATGCATAAACAGATAACGAACATGGTATGAAATTTGGGTATAGCTTGAAAGTCCAGAAACGATTAAGGCAGACCCAAAAGTGTGATAAACAAGAGGCAGTGTAGCTAAGGGGCAGGGTTCCTGGCTCAGAGCTGAAGGAGCCACAGCAGGAAGAGCTATGGCAATGCCAGTGCACAGCAGCCGTCTCCCAGGAAATGGTGCAGTTCTGAAGCCGCTTTTGGGAGAACAGAAAGTATAGAGAAAACTATCTAGCCTTGAAGTTTAAGATTATGGTAAGACAATGCTGTTCTCAATACAGCTCTTTTATATAACTGAGCAGATACTGATTACCAGGCCTTCTGTCATTCCATCTGCGAATATGTAGGACCTTTGACCATCACCCCTTGGCTGTGTTTTTCAACGTCATAGCATATTTTAAAAAAACCTCGTGTAGTACGGGATAGGTGAGAAAAGATCCGATCACGTATTTTGGAGAAAGAACAGTGTGACTGGACATTACGATGAAACACTCTGGACTCATGTACCATTATTATATATCCATTCTGCATTTAAAACCTCATGCACTGAAGGTAGAGAATATGGAAGCTTGGTTAATAATCAAGTTTATGTAAACAGTTTATTAATAAACCTTTTAATAGTCTGTATTTTAGAAAATGATTAGGAAAATATAATATATATATAATATATATATATTATATATATATAATCTTTCCTTTAAGCTTTATGCCACCTTTAAAAATAATATCATTCGTTTAAAAAAATAAACTTAAGTTAGCCCTGGCCAGGTGGCTCAGTTTGTTGGAGCATCGTCCCATGCACCAAAAGGGTGCGGGTTCAATCCCTGGTTGGGGGATGTATGGGAAGCAACAGATTGATGCTTCTCTCTCTCCCCCTTCCTCTCTCTAAAATCAATAAACATATCCTTGTGTGAGGACTTAAAAAATAAAATAAAAAACAAACAAATAAAAAGATTACCTTAACTTGAAGGATAGAGTTGAATTATCAAGTCCAAAAACCTTAAGTAACCTCTTAAATCGCAAAATATTTTCTCCTCCTTTAAGGTAAACCCTTGAGCCTTCATTCACTTCCAAAGCCTTCAGCTGCCCAAGTGTTGCCTAAGTGTCTCATTTGTTGCTACCATTGGATGGGGAGCTGAGGAAGCATGAAAAGGAGGGGGTGGTGAAGGCATGTTTGCCAACAAAAGAGGACATTAAGGTTAACAGAGACAAAACACATCCCTGTAGATGAAAGAACAATATTTTACTTAGATTCTTTTAACCTATCTGTGAAATTCTAAAACACTAAAATGAGCAAAAATGAGGGCATAAGAATAACAACTGAACAGTGACAACCCTCAAAAGGTGTAAGAACAGAATTCAGGGACTACTAACACATTGTACTCGAGAAACGTATTTATACGTTTTACATTGGCTGGTAGTAGAGCACGCGATAGAAACTACCCACAAACAATGTGCTACCTGTCTAGTAGGTGAGTCAGGTTTGGCAAAGCGGTTGGTTAGCCAAGGGGTTAAAAGAATTACCTGAGGATCTCTATCAAAATATCTATCTTTCCATCAAGATTCCAATTCCATAAATTCCAGGGGCACTCTGATACATGAATATATATGCACCTCGCTTGGTTATTTGAATAGCCACTACTCTCCCCCAATTGTGTGCCACTAGCTAGGATAACATAGCCATGTTTTACACCACCTAATGTGAAAAAAGTCTGAAAGGCTAATTCCTTTCTACACCCTCCCCATAATACCCAGGGTGAGGCGCAGCTACCCTCTATATAAAGTGAAGGAGCAGTGTTGCAACTGGAAAAAAATACCCTCAGTATAATGCCCTGTCCTTCCATACCTGGTTTCCACTACATCACAGCTCCCAGTCCAATATCTCGAAAGCATTACCCACTTCACTGTGTGAGTGTATGTATATAAATAGGCACAGAATGTGCACATACACATGTATGATCACTTAAGCCCCAAAACTAAGAATCAACCATCTTTAATAACACTAAATGGCTCTATTTAGCCCTCTTGAACTTACCAAACACTTCTCTGCCTCAGATGTCATTTAATCCTCTAATCCAGACCTCAACTCTAAGAGGTCTTTAAAATATCTCATTAGTATTTTAATGGTTCCCAAACTGGGTCACTCTATAGTAGGCACATTTAATGTTAGGATGGTTTTATTCCTTGAAATTACATTATTGTATTAATGGGATGTCTTAAAACATAGACCTAGGGAGAAAAAAAGAATATCATCCCACTTTTTAAAAAATTGTTAAAAAATTCAAAATTATACTGCTTATGTTTCACATCAGTGCCCACACTGTGATCTAAAAACTTATTTATCCCAGCCAACCAAGAATGAGATATTTACATGAGTAAAATATTATCAATAGGAATAATATTAAATATTGTGCTAGTATCAAAAGTTAATACAAAATACACTAGTATTGGAGAAATTAATTAATTGATAATTTAGAAATAATCTGCAATCTAAAATTTCTTACATGGAGCTTTTGAATTATATTCAAAATTAATGCCTAAGGATCCTGGGGAGCAATAATAAATAACATAGTTATTCTTCCTTTATGTACACAAGAAACATGAAATATATGTTCAGATAATTTCAAAAAAGAATTTTTCTATTCTTTCTAAAACTTTCAAAAACACTGATTTGTAGAAAGTCTTTCTACGTATACCTTACTCTCTTCATTCATTAAAATATTCATACTATTTTATTCTCATTTCCTAACAGTACACCAATATCGTTTTTCTCAATGTTTTAAGGGCATAGCAACAAAGAAAACCCGTAAATTTAGATTAAATAGCCAAGACAAAACTGTGCGTGTGCACAATATAGTATGGCCTAAACATAAAGGAATATCATGATAACCATGGGGGAAATGTGATACACTAGGGAAAAAATAAAGAAATGAGATATATTAGGGAGAAAAATTAAGAAGACAAAAACAAACAAAGGTTTGGGATTCCTTAAATCTTATAAATAGAGGTTTCCCCCAGACTAAACACTACAAGAAAACAGTTTAAAAAATCAGTAAATACTTACTAGGCATGTACCATGTTAAAAAACACACACAGTGTAATCAATATGATATTTAAAATAATCTTTGGATACCCCAAAGTTAATTCTAAAAATAAATATTTCTTAAGATCAAACATTTTGAAATTTCAGCAGGCTGCAAGCATCTCGTAAATGCAAAATGATTAGGCATACCCCCTAGCCCTCTAGCATCATCTAGTGGTAAATTCATGAAACAGCTGAAGAAAAAGACTAGTGTACTGGCACAGCCATTTCCTCATCTTCCTTCTGTCTCTCTCTCTCTCTCTCACACACACACACACACACACACACACACACACACACACACACAATCCTGGAGCTGCCTAGAAAGATGCAAATGTTTGCAATGAATAATTAAGACCCACAGAAAATTATTTTACAGATGTAAGGAAAAAAAAAACTAAGTCTCTAATACACAATGGACTTCATGGGGAAAATGATACAAATACTAACTGCTCTTTCCTAACTTCCATACATGAAAATATAAATTAAATATAATTTATCTACAGATTTAACAGTACACAAAAATCACTTATTGGTGTTGAAGATCGAGGAATAAGACTGTGTTGAAAGTTTTACTTACCAAGAAACTCCTAGGATTCAAATGCCAATTTTTGTTTTGAATATTCCTAAGGTTCTTTTACTTTTATAAACCACAATGATAAGAAATTATCTAAAGTTATAAAAATGGTGTTTTGTGGCTTTTAGACCACACATCCTTTTTTCTCCTCATTTGGAAACTCAAGATATGGAAATAAATTGGAAATTCCTTTATCTCTAACAGCTTCAAAGGCAAACATTCTTAATAAAAGTAAAGTGGCCAATTTCCCTTTCAATAACACCAGAAAACACCCCTGGGCTGCATGCAGTCTGGGCAGGCTCCACAGGAACTCTTGGAAATGAGCCAGGTGTCGGACTCCACCAGCATCGCAACAGGGTCTAGACCCGTCAGCCAGATTTGTCAGACCCTCCACGTCTGAACCTAGATGTAAATGTCATAAACAAAAATTTCCAGCTCTGACACATTTACACACACACACACACACACACACACACACACGCAGACCAACACACAGCACGTGTGTTGTGTAACTAAGGCTGACAAAGTTAGTACAACAAATGTCACTCAGTCCCTTAACCTAGTAACTATTTTAAATAGTCTTAAAAATCATTCCTGTGCTTAATATTGTTACTACTAGCCTAAACCAAAATATCTTCAGTAACACTGACACCCTCTACCCAATAAATGTCTATATGGTTTTCAAAAATCCTGAACCATATATATCACCGCAATGAAAAAAATGAATACATATATGAGAAAGTGAGTATGAGGCAAAACATTTGTATACTATCTAAACTTAGAACATCTATATCGAACCTTCACAACACAATGAAACCCAATACATCCTTTTTGAGAAATGCCAACATATTTCCGTATGCTGACATAAAAGCCACAGATAAATCTACCTATATATATAAGTGCACATATGAGCACACACACATACATGCAGACCTCAGTTGCCCAGTAGTGCAAAAGCATAAAAAATAACGCAAAGCTGAAAGTGTGCAAAGCAATCTTAATAATCAAGATAAAACATTATCCCATAACTTTAAAAATTTTTGTCAAATTATTAAAAATTGCCTTCCTGTTGGTTATAAAAACGAAAAACAGTAAATGTATAGCATTGAAAACATTAAGTACGTTGTAAAGAAGAAAACTTATTAAGAGTAGTGTGAAGAGTGCTCGCCTGCTGGTACGTCACTTAGGACACAGAGTGAACATCTTTTTCTATGCCTTGCAGCACTGTCACACCCCTTTCTAGGTTTGAATCAGCTTCCAACAGTC